AAAAAAAAATAATGGGGGGAAATTAAACCATCCCATTGCACTACAAAGAAAGAGATAGATTTTGGACAAGATTCCAGGCCCCCGGAGACGAAGAAATGGAAGAAAGCCAGGAGAAAAATTGGGGAATATTGATTTAAGCAGAGGCTGGATGGCCATCTGTCAGGGATGCTTTGATTGGGAGTTCCTGCATGGCAGGGGGTTGGACTGGATGGCCCTTGTGGTCTCTTCCAACTCTATGTTTCTATGATTCTATTATTTGTTTCATTATGCATTGACTATGTCCTGGTTTGAGGGCCAAAACACACTGCACTTTGAGACCACTTTAACTGCCCTGGCTCAATGCTAGGAAATCCTGGGAATTGTAGTTTTAAGAGACATTGAGCTTTCTCAATCCCGATCAGAGAGCTCTGGTGCCACCGCAAGCTACAATTCCCAGGATTCCCTAGCACTGAGCCCGGGCAGTTAAAGCGGCGTCGAACTAGATTATTTCTGCAGTGTGTTTTGGTCCTTAGATGGGATTCGAGAAGGTCTGAGATGCAGTGAAAAGCTTAGCATTGTTGTTGTGTGCCTTCCAATCATTTTTTACTTAAGGAGAACCTATCATGGGGTTTTCTTGGCAAGTTTCATCAGAGTGCGTTTGCCCTTGCCATTGCCAGCCTCTGAGGCTGAGAGAGTGTGACTTACCCATGGGCACCCAGGGGTCACTTTAGTAGACCAAAGTTAAAAAGAAATCCAAAATCTGAAACACAAAATTGTCCACATTGGGAGGCTGAGAGAGGGACACCTTTGCTTTCAGATGGTCCAGTCTTCACAAACGTGGCCTCATACACAAAATTGTGAAAAATGTGATATATCAAATTACTGTTCCTCCAGGCGCTGTAGATAAGGTGTATAGGAAATATAAATGAATTACACCATCTCCGTCTTATTACGGATATGCAAGTTTTCCAAAATCCGGGGGGAAATTTAGAAATCCAAAACACTTCTGGTCCCAAGCATTTCAGATAAGGAACACCCAACCCATATCTCTATAACTTTATCTATATTGTGTTGTTGTTGTTGTGTGCCTTCAAGTCGTTTCCGACTTAACGGTGACCCTATCACGGGGTTTTCTTGGCACGTTTTGCTCAGGGAAGGTTTTGCCATTACCATCCTCTGAGGGCGAGAGAGTGTGACTTGCCCAGGGTCACCCAGTGGGTTCTGTGACTGAGCCGGGATTCGAACTCTGGTCTCCAGATTCCTAGCCCAACACTCGGTCCGCTACACCACTCTGGCTGAGACAGATCGATAGATAGATCGATCGATAGATCGCTCAATCGATCGATAGATAGATAGACAACTTGCTTCAAGGAATAAGAGGCCATATGAAAACACTGAGCCAGAGACCATGATGAAGTCCTGCCTGATGCTTCTCTTGAGGCTCAATTAATCCTGTTTTCTTGCTTCTTTGGGCCTCAAGGGAAGCGATTTGGCTCTTGCATCAAATCTCCTGGCTTTGGTTTCCTATTTCCCGGTCTTCTGGGGTGGAACGTGGGAGGGATCCCCCATAGAGTTATACCCCAAAGAAATCAAATAATACACCATTTATTGGCCATTGATCTCTAGGATGGGTCATTTTCTTTCCTTAGATAATGCATGCTTTGCAGGGCATTTGGTAGCCCTTTCGGGACAGAGCTGGAAAGAGGTTGGAGAGCAGAGAAGAAAGAAGAAGGCTTGCCCCAAATCTCTAGGGGGGCAACAGATGGCAGCCAGGGGGGACTCTGAGCATGCGCAGAGAAGCTCCCCCAACTGCAAGGGACCTTTTTTAACCCTTGGATGTGCAGGGATGGATTCTGTTCCATAGGCTGGGATCATAAATTTGTTTTATGACACAGCACTAGGTTTGCAAATCCCGAATGAGATACCAAACCAACTTTATCCTAAAGTGCAATAGCATCCCCAAATTCACCAAACAGCGGGGCCAACCAAGATGCCCCAAAGCCACCTTGCAAACTTTTGAAGCTCCGTCAGCTTCTTCGTCAGGCAAAGACATTAAATATCATTTTGTTTTGCGACCTTTTCTGACTTACGGTGACCCTAATCCGGGGGTTTGCTTGGCAAGTTTCTTCAGAGAGGGGTTTGCCTTGGCCATCCCCTGAGGCTGAGACAGTGTCACTCGCCCAAAAACTCCCAGTGAGCTTCCAGGGCCAATCCAGGATTCAAAGCCTGCTCAAAGGCAAGAAAAATCCTGTGCAATAATATTCTTTTTTTTTTTTTCTCCTCCAGAACCAGGGGGAAAAAACCCTCATTTTTCACCCTTGAATGTGCCGAAGAAACAATTGAGGATTTGCACCCCTAGTGCCTGGATTTTTTAAAAAATCATTCATTCAAACCTCTCAAAGGCCAGGCCGTAATTTGATTTATTTTAAAGAAAAGCAGGAGGGAAGTTGGCAGGGTGCAACCACTGCAAGATCACATCATCAGCTTGGACATAAGCGGCCTTTTCTCTCCCAAAGGCTCCTCGGGAATCAATTTATTATTGCCTTGGCCCCAGTTGTCGTGATTCGAACGGGACACCCGGGCAGCCGGTTTCCAGCTTGGCGGAAAGCCATGGACAAAATGTCCTGGACTGTGGCCTGACCATGGCGATGTGGATACTGGACTTACCAGCCTCCTGGGTGATGCCATACATTTGAAGGCTTCCCAGCTTGGGGATGATGGGGGCTGTGATTTTGCGAGACCCTGGTTCACTTCTTAGGAAGATCCGCCATCCATCGTCCCCAAAAAACACCCCACATCCAAGGCCTTCTTTCGATCCATCTTGGCTGCACATTTTCTCCATCTTGGGACGGATCCACTTTGAGACATTGTGCGCAAAGGCTTGCCAAAGCTGTCCGTTTTTGGCACCTGGGACCGAACCCATTAAATAAACATGCTTGAACGCCTGGCCCTTTATGGATGCATTTCTTAATTTATTGGCAGCTTTTTTATTAAAACCCTGAGCGGTTCGGATAATAGGGACGGGGCTCTGTCTGTCTCTCGCCTCCCTCCTCTTCTTTCTCATCCTTTCTTGGTCCAAGGTGATCCTTTTCCCAGCCTAATGGCTAATTTGAAAACCAAATGGTTTTGAATGGTTTGGAGAGAGAAAAAGAATGAGGTGGGAGAGAAATTGTGGGTCCAAAGAAGGCAAGGAGCTTGACTTGTATCTCTTCGTTGTTGTTGTTGTTGTGCGCCAATTTGTGGCAACCCTATTCTGGGGTTTTCTTGGCAAGATTTGTTCAGAGGAGGTTTGCTCTTGCTGTCCCCTGAGGCTGAGAGAGTGCGGCTTGCTCAAGGTCATCCAGGGGTTCCCATGGCTGAATGAAGATTTGAACTCAGGCCTCCAGTCCAGCGTTCAAACCACTACGCCATGTTGGCTTTCCATGGCCGAGGGGGGATTCGAACCATGGTTTCCCAGCATCCTACCACTACACCATTCTCTTTTCTCTCTCTCTCTCTCTCTCTCTCTCTCTTTGCAAGGAAAGTAACAGAGAGAAAGAGAATAAAATCCAGGGATGTTTTTAAAAAATCTCCCTCTTGGTTTGGCTTTTCTTAATGCGCGTGTACTCACTGCGTAATTGTCACAAGAACCGGAAATCAAGGGCTGGATTCTGAATTGGGGGATGAAGAGTAACAACCACAAATTGTGTGAGTCCCAAATTGTGTGGTTTACACTCCAAATTTTGACAATGTACCCAGAGATTATTAATCTGATCACTTTGGGAACTGTTTCCTTCCTTCCTCCATTCCCTCCCTCCCTCTTTCTTTCTTCCTTCCTTTTTCTTCCTTCCTTTCCTCCCTCCCTCCTTCCAATTCTTCCTTCTTTCCTTCCTTCCTTCCCTCCCTTCTTTCTTTCTTTCTTTCTTTCTTTCTTTCTTTCT